AATTTACAGGCTAACTTTGATTCACATATTAAAACCTATGAGAAAATTAATGATACTCAATATATTGTTGAAACAGAAATTGAAGAACAAGAGATTACTACCGAAGATCACTCAAGTAAATCTACACGACTAACACCTAGTCATTTGGGATCATTCGTTTTATTTCACAGTAAAAAAAATAATGAACAATTTCATTCACGTGATTCATGGATTTTATAAACCCGAAATATACTATACCGACACTGATAGTTTGTACATTTCATCCAACAATTGGAAAAAACTAAACAGAGCTGGTTTGGTCTCCGAAAAAAACTTTTGCAAAGGTAAAAACGATTACGGTGATGGTGGAATTATATTTGGTTTATATTTAGCACCAAAAGTTAAATACAATATCATTCTAACTTTTGATGGTGTTTTAAAAGAAAAGAAAACATTTAAAGGTTATTCTAATAAGATAAGTGTAGAAGATTACATTCAGTTAGCAAGCGGACATGATGTGTCGAATGAATTTAAGAAATCATGGGAAAAAAGTTTCACCAATGGAGTTGTAGAGTGCATACATATACACGAACGCAACCTCACAAGTTATGATAAGCTATTAAGTCATATCGAAGGTGCTCAAATAACGTCACGTCCTTCTTAAGTAATATGGCCGATGACCAGGTGGCATTTCATTTATCCTGTGATTCTTTTGTTGATTTTTGGAAGTTTGGTGGTTGACAATTTTTTGCCCGTTCCCGTTCCCGTAACCATTTCAGTTACTAGCTCTCGTTTTTATTCTGTATTTTTAAGTCCATTATCGGTGCGATTGTATGTTTGTTCACCTGTACAGTTGTCTACAATTGGGATGATTAAAACTTTGATGAAAACGTCTAAACGTTACCTTTCCCTTATCCAGTGGTGTGCATGTTAGTGGGTGAAGGGGACGCATCGACAGCATCTACATTAATATCAACAAATTAGACCAGATATGGAGACACAGGATAGTGAAAGCCTCCATGAAGGAGCTGTGAACAATAATAGTTCCAGTTCAGAACTTAAGTTGCAGACAGAGAATTTCGAAAAGGTTTTGAAGTCTATGTCGAAAGATATACAGTATAGTATGCTTACTGATGACGGTTACGACCACATCTTTGACCTGTATAAAAAATGGTTAGAAGTTTTGGAGAGCTACCAAGTAACCCATCACCAGTACATACAGATAATAGAAGAGGCAGATAGACAATCTTACCTCTACGATCATATTGATTTTCAAAGGGAAATTGATAGTTTCCGAAGATACTCAGAAGAGTGGTTTAAGTTAAACAAACCTACACCGCCTGATGTTAAACCCTCTGACAGTGTGTCTCAACTCAGCAGAAGTGATTCGTCCTCTGTTTCCTCCAATTCAGATTGGGTAAGAGAAGAACAAAAGAGGATAGAACTTGTTGAGAAAAGAAAGGTTTTAGAGCAGAAACAGAAGCTTAGAGAAACTGCAAATTGAACAAAAGGAAAGGAAACAGCGTGATAAAGAGAAACTCGAAATGGAGAAACTTCAGATTAAACAAAAGGTAATAGCAGTAATAGATCAACATCCTCAAGGAGACAAACTCAGAACATAACACAGATACCTATAGAAAGTATAAGCTTACCTACTGATAGTGAAGGTTTCAATAAAACCCTTATCCTGT